AATGTGGTTGGACAGCTGTGGACCTCATTCATCCCTTCCTTTGCCATAGTTATCAGTTTGCCTACCTCTCATCCCAGACCCCAGTGCTAATGACTGGGACCAGACAAAGTTTTAGAAGTGGAGCCATGTGATTGGGTAATTCTGACACAGTAGTTACCAAGCCCTCCCTCGCTCCCTCCTTTCCTTCCTTCCTTCCTTTTCTCTCCTGATCAAGGTATGCTTATTACTTAATTTATGTACACAGCACATTTTCATACACCCTTCTGCCCCCTTCCAAAAAAAACTGCTCTCAAATCTCTGATGGATCCAACTCAGGCAAGATGTGGAGTAGAAGATGTATGTCCAGACTGCAACTTTCTCCTATGGTGGCTGCAAGTGGGATTGGTCCCTAGAATGAACCTGGCAAGGCTCATGGGCAGGATGTTCTTGATCCAAAGCCTGGCATCTTCCCTTCCGCTGAAAGTTGTGCCCCAACTGCTGTGTGCGGTGGAGTTCGGGGTGGCCAGAGCCTATGCAGAGAAACCGAAGTCCCTTGTCTCTGGTCTCCCCTAAAGAGACAAGGAATCAGACTTGTCTTCTTGGAATGAAGTTCAAAGTTAAGGACAAATGGAGAATTTGAGCCTGAAGAAAAAGTTGTACAACTATAAGGTGGTCATTAGTAACACCTATAGCATTTGTTTGAGAGACTGATTATTCCTAATTATTTCCATGCTGTCTCTGTCTGGCAGTTGAAGAATGTAAAGTCCAAAGGGCCGGTGAGCAATGCACGTCTGTCCAGTGTGACCCTCCTGAGAGCAGAGCTGAAATTAGGACACTTGCTTGGGTGCACAGTGCCCGCTGCAGATTGGGGATGACTTGTGTCCAGCCAGTCTTTGAAACACATTGAATTCAGAAGATGTGTGTGGAAACACATGTGAAAGAGCTGGAAGAGATCAGCTTGGAGAGAAGGCTATGGGGACTGGACCGGGTATGAAAGATGTGCTGTGTCCTTCTTATTTTCCCAAGATCGGAAGCTGTTGGAGGGCTGGGACCTGTCCCTCATTCAGTCTCTTGTCATGCTGAATTCTGGGCTGTGCGTAAAATAACAGTGCCTGTGAACAGTGTATGAGTGAGGGCTTCTCTCATCTAGGCTCTCCTTAGAAGGTAATTTAAGGAAGGGCGGGAGGATTCATTAGTAGTATCAATTAGAATTTCAGAGGACATGGATGACCATGCAAATGGGATAAAAACCAGGGGGGTTCAGGATGGGGGACACATGTACACCTATGGCTGATTCATGTGAATGTATGGCCAAAACCACTACAATATTGTAGAGTAATTAGCTTCCAATTAAAACAAATACATTAAAAAAAAACAAATATTGCTGAGGTACTGTTGTGTTACCTTAAATCACTAGAATTTACTTCGGAGCCAGTAAGACCCCCAAATTATCCAAGATGGAGGCATTTCAGAAGAAATTTCAAATGCCTGCCAGATGCGAGCAGTTAAGTGGAAGGGTGCGCAGTTAGCAAAGGTTCTGTTGTTTGGGGGCAGCCATCAGAATTCTGTCAAGTGTCGCAGGTATGGGTGACGCATCCTGGTCATTCCTGGTCCCCACAGTGCACAGTACCAGTCACAGTGCTCTCAAATGGATACATTTTGCCAAACTTTCTTATATGGTCATCCCTCACCAACCATGGGGTTGATAGCTGATCAAAATACTAACCTACAGTGGCAAAATCAGAGTCACCAAGGTTAAGAGTTCATAAAATAGGCACTTGAGAAAAACAAAAGTTGTGTTAATATATATGATTAAAACTACAAGTGAAAGTTCTAGAAGGCATTCTCCCTCCAAATAACCACTATTTCGTCATGAGGGTGATCAATCACATGTGGGTAACTTTTGAATTGCCTCTTCAGTTGTTTGGGAGACATTGCCCACGTCATCTGCTGAAGCAGACGCTCCCAGCAGCCCACCTGGCTCCTGGTAGAACCCAGACGCTCCCAGTAGCGCACCTGGTAGAACCAGCCCTCACCAGCTTGAAATAAGCAGCCCTTTGCAGTTCTTGCTCACTGTGACTGTCTCCCACCCTCCCTTCTCCCCTCTCTCCATCTCCCTCCCTTTTCCTTCTCCTCCTCCTCTTTTAAGATACAAGTCTAGACAACTGTGTAACCTCCTGACTCTTCACAAATTATGCCAGAGCTTAAGGGCTTATTTTTTGAAGTCTGGCTTCTGTCTGAGATTATTTGAGGGGGTCGGTCTTTCTGATCTTTCCTCTCTCCTCTAGGTGCTTCCCTAGAGTGCCCCACCTCTCAAGTCCACAGGGAAAGAGAGCAGTAACTGTGGACTTTCCTCTAAGGACTTAGGACGGAAGTAACAAGAGAGCTGACTTTATATTTCTGGTAACAAGTGTGAACAATATTATCTCAAAACATAGAGTAAAAGAATGTCATGTATAAAATGTTAAAAACAACTTTGATGTTGATGAGGTGCTGAGAAAGAGAGAGAGGGTGAGGGTGGTGGGACATGGCCTGGGTGTTGGGTATCAGGGAGCAAGGAGAATGCAAAGAGAAGTATGGCAGTAACTTTAGGGGTCAGGGCAAATACAGTTTCAGTGGAGGGTTATGCAGGGGATGGGACCTGCTGGTTGCTGCATTTTCAGAGCTCAGACCAAGAAGAAGTGGGTCCAGGGCTCAGGACAAGGGATTGGGGCTGGGCATACAGATTGTCAGGGTGGCTAAATAGAGGCCTGGGTCACAGTATCAGCTAGGATTTAACTCAGCTGCTAGTGACAGGAACACCCAAAATAACAGGTTTAAAAAAGAGAGGTTACATGGAAGACCTGGAAATGGGCAATCCGGGGCTGGGGTGTTGGCCTTACTGCTGTGAGGGACCTGGGCTTGTTCAGGCCTTCTGCCTGCCCCACCCACACCCCCATTCCTGTTGCTTGGCTTCTTCCTCATGGTCCAGGATGGTGCTGCAGCTCCAGCCATCACATCTCAGCTTGCAAGTCCCACCAGCGTGGCAGTTTATCCTTCTTTGGCCAGAACTTAGTCATGTGTCTCACCTCCCAGGAAGAGAGGGAGACTGAGGGGTATCATCCTGTAGCTGTGTGGCAACACACCCAACTATATAGCAGGGTTTCAGATCATTTGAGAGGAAACAGAACTTTCATAACTAAGAAAAGTTACAGACCTTCTTCATCGTGGGTTATCTGTTTATTCAGTGAGTAGGGAGTACCCCACATGTTCATGCACTTCTCGAGGGCAACAGCGAGGTAGGCAGATGGGCTCTGGTCTCATGAAGCTGATTATCTAGCAGGAGGCAAGACAGACAATAAACCAATAGCACATGTGGCCTGGTTGACAACCTACATTCTGTACTCAAGTCTTCCCCAGGAGCTGTCTTCAGATGTACCTGTACATAATTAATGATCGAAGCCAACAGTGTCAGACATCACTGCTAATGCCTGCGGGCACGTGGGCAGCCAGCATCAGCATTGCTTTAATAGGAATTCAGCTCATCCATCAAACACTCCCAAGGGCCTGCACTGTGAGGAGTGGAGGGGAAGGGGAGGTGGGAGAAGTAAATAATTAGTAAGCCAGAGAGCCTCACCTCGAAAGCAGCCCAGGAGTCATTCTGCGGCCAGCGCCCTCATGGGTTGAGGATAAGAATCCAGCAGTAAAATCCCAAGTCTTTTTCTTCTTTTTTTAAAAAAATGTATTTATTTTCTTTTGGCTGTGCCAGGTCTTCGCTGCTGCGCGAGCTTTTCTCTAGTTGCAGTGCTCAGATGTCTCGTTGCAGTGGCTTCTCTCGTTGCAGACCACAGGCTCCAGGTTGCACGGGCTCCAGGAGCTGAGGTTCCTAGGCTCTAGAACACTAGCTCAGTAGTTGTGGCATGTGGGCTTAGTTGCTCTGCGGCCTGTGGGAGCTCCCCAGATCAGGGATCAAACCTGTGTCTCCTGAATTGGCAGGTGGCTTCTTTACCACTGAGCCACCAGGAAAACCACCAGGTCTTTTCCTTGAGTGAAGGCAGTTTGGGGGCTGTTTCCTTGCTAAGGTGCAGGGCAGAATGATGAGGATAGTTTTGTGATTCCTACAGGCTTTTGAGGCCAAGCTGGGGAAATTGAGAAAATACAAGGACATGACCTTTTCCTTCTTGTATGACCTTCAGCCATAGTCCCTGCACCTGGTTTTGCTGGGAATCAGGCAGGTGTCCAAGTTCAGTTCATGTTTTAAGTGGGTGTGGGTTCTAAATTAAACCCCAGTGAGTGCTACCCACCGAGACCTCCTGTCCTGGCCGCTGGGCAAGGACCTAGATACAGTGATTCTCAAATTGCTTGAAGGGAAGAGCCAGTTCTTTCGGTTTCAATTTCCAGTCTGTTATAAAAAAATGAAATATTAGAAAAATGAAATTAAAATTACATACAAAACACAAACTCAGACTTCTGTTAGTAGATGCAGGAGACATTAGTCTGTCCAATTGCTCTAAACGTTTCTAAAAGCAAACTCAATCCTGAACTGGAGTTGGCCAGTAGCAAAAAGTTCAGGTCATCAAGGCAGCACTTCGGACAGTCTTGTCCTGCCAGGGCCAGGTGGGGACCGTGTCCTTCCAAGCTGGGTGTCCAGACAGTTCAGAAGGAGAACGAAGAAGCTCCCTAGGCAGCCTCGATGTCCCTCATGCCCCACACCTCTCTCTCTCCCTGGTGCCCCCCACCCTGCTCCCCATGTTTTCAGCTGCTACACGAGCAGACTGATAAAAGGAACAGCTTGGCTAACGCTGTCATAGTCCCCGTGTGCAGGTGAAAATTTCACTGCACACTCGCAGCCAGAGAAATGAAAGGTCACAGCTAATTGTAATCATTACCCAGGCTCCTCTACCTGACCGGGGCTTTGGGCACATACCGCTTCGATAGCCAAGCAGCTGACTGAAAGGCCGTCTTCTCCGGGTGGCGGGCCTGGGCTCGCCAGTCTGAGCAGGGTGGGAAGGTCACTGGTGACTGGGGACCCTGTGTTGCAGTTCTCCAAGGAGAGGCACGTCATGGACAGGACCCCCGAGAGGCTGAAGAAGGAGCTGGAGGAGGAGCTGCTGCTGAGCAGTGAGGATCTGCGCAGCCACGCCTGGTACCACGGCCGCATCCCCCGACAGGTACCTGCCTGCATGCAGGGGCATGTTCCCAGGGCCGTTAGGAGCAAGCCCCACTTCAGCCCAAACGAAATATGAAGTGGCTTGCAGTGACTTAACATAGGCCCGTTTCTAAGGAGATCTTGGGAAGAGCAAAGGTCAGGAATTCAAAGTCCATTTGCCCGTGGCTAGTGAGGGGATGAAGGAAAAGCAGGTGTTCTGTGGTCTGTAAACACGGGCCTAGTGGGAGGCAGCCGTGCAGGGTGGCACCTCGGGGAATATGAGGCTGGGCTGTGGTTCAGATAATTGAACTCTTGGCCAGCTGCCTGCAGCCTCATACCCTGTGGAGCCTGCTTCCTTCTTAAGGCTGTAGTTTAATTTCAGGTGAAAAGAGGGTAGCATCAGGGCAGGTGACCCAGAGAAACAGGCCACCTGTACCCTAGTGGGGCCAGCAATTATTCATTCTCTACCCCTCCTCTATCCGGCCCCCGGCCCAGAAATGGGGAAGAGGAATTATACCAGCGACCACATGGCTAGAATATACTTTGTGTGATTGTCCTTTGAGTCATAGCCATGAATAATGTTTTTTTATTTAATATTATAGAAATTGAAAAATAAGTGCAGAATTGAGGTATAGAATTTTCCTTGAGTTTTTATTGTAACATGATCCAACCATAAAGAAATAATTCTTATTTCAACTTTGTTTTTCTTCTTTTAGTTTAAAATTGATTATAGAAAATAGAATAAAAAAGAAGCAAACTAAACCCATAATTCTCCCTTCTGGAGCTAACCACTAGGAATATTTTGCTATAAATCCTGCCAGACTTTTCCAAATCAAGTTTGAGCTCATTTTGCCTATAACTTAGCAGCCCACTGTCTTCTGTTAATGATATAACCTGGGAATTTTCTCCTGCTATGAAATGTTGTTCTCAACCAGCCCCCATTGTCTGCATCCATTGTGTGTCTGCTCCACTCTGTACTGGGCACTCTCCCAGCACCCTTTAAGATAACTGCTATGTTCATCACTATAATTATTTCCTCAGGCTCAATTCCAAGAAGTGGAATTTCTGTGTGAAAACATTTTTAAGGCTAAGATGAAATTTTAAGGTAACCATGGTAACATACTATCCTGAGCTAGCTGATCAAATGTTGGCAGGTCCTGGAAAACTTATCAAAGTTTATAAATCTGATGTCTGTCATCACCATCATTCTCCTTATCATGATCATAAAATTTGTTTCCCACTTGCCATGAGTATAAATTTTCAGCTATACATCATCTAGATTGTATATCTAAAGACTGTAACAATAATGATCGTTATAGTTAACTCTTAAGGGCTTCCCTGGTGACTCAGATGGTAAAGAAGCCCCCTGCAATGCAGGAGACCTGAGTTTGATCCCTGCATTGGGAAGATCTCCTGGAGAAGGGAATGGTTACCCACCCCAGCATTCTTGCCTAGAGAATCCCATGGACAGAGGAGCCTGGCAGGCTATATAGTCCATGGGATTGCAAAGACAGGACTGAGTGACTAACACATACATAGTTAACACTTTGCTCCTTTAAATCTTTATAGCTACTCTATAGGAGATATTATCCTGGTTTACAGATGATGTAACGGGTGTGTAACTTGTACACCTAACTTGTCTCACAGAAGAGCCAAGATGGAAACCCAGGCAGACTAGCTATGGGAACAACCATTCTAGACACAGTTTAAATTCTCCTTTTGTTACAAACTTCAGTATCCTTATAGCTAATGATTTTTTTAACATCTACTATGTTCCAGACACTGTACTAGTGCTTTGTGTATATTATGTGGCAGTGGTTTAGTTGCTAAGTTGTATCCAACTCTTTGCAAAGCCATGGACTGTAGCCTGCCAGGCTCCTCTGTCTGTGGGGATTCTCTAGGCAAGAATACTGGAATGGTTTGCCATGCCCTCCTTAAGGGGATCTTCCCAACCCAGGGATTGAACCGAGGTCTCCTGAATTGCAGGCAGATTCTTTACCAACTGAGCGATCAGGGAAGCCTCATATATTATGTATGCAAATATATAACCTTCCCAATAACTTTGTGGGATGAGAGACTGGCCACTTTGTTCCAGGCCCGCAGAATAATTGGTGTGCCCAGAACCACTCTCAGAGGTCTAGTTCTACTGTCCCTGGCTTCCACCTTCTTGCAGGCCCTCCTCCTCCCCACCCACCAGGCCTGGAGAGGGGTTTCGTAGGAGAGGCTCTGAGGATGACCCATAGATGACAACCAACATCCTCCTCCAGGTGTTGCAGGGAGAGAGAGAATCAGACCCACCAGGCACAAATTTTCTTATTTAGTTTTTATCACTTCACATCCTTCAGGTCTGCATAGATGTCATCTTCTCCTGATACCCTCCTAACCACTGTATTTAAAAGCACAGCCCCCATCCCAATTTACTTTTTCCTTAACTTTACAACATCTGACATAGCATACCTGTTCCTTTTTTGTCCTACTAGAATAGAAGCTCTCCAGTGAAAACAGAAGCTCTGAGACAGTGGAGGGTCAGCTTCATTCACTGCTATAAATGCAGTGCCTACAGCAGTACTTGGTACACAGTTGTTGCTGTTCAGTCATGTCCGACCCTGCAACCCCATAGACTGCAGCACACCAGGCTTCCCTGTCCTCACCATCTCCCAGAGCTTGTTCAAACTCATGTCCATTGAGTCAGTGATGCCACACAGTAGATGATCAACAAATAGTTCATAAATGAATGAGTCTTCTCAGACTTTGACAAAATAAAGAGCCGACTGAGGAAGAAGAGACATTACAGCCTTGTCCGTAGTGCAGCCTTGCCTGTTCCTCACTCACCTTTCTGTCCCAAAGGTGTCAGAAAACCTCATGCAGCGAGATGGTGACTTCCTGGTTCGTGATTCTCTGTCCAGCCCGGGGAACTTCGTCCTGACCTGCCAGTGGAAGAACCTGCCTCAGCACTTCAAGATCCGCCGGACGGTGGTGCGGCTCAGCGAGGCCTACAGCCGCGTGCAGTACCAGTTTGAGATGGAGAGCTTCGACTCCATCCCCGGCCTGGTGCGCTGCTACGTGGGCAACCGGCGGCCCATCTCGCAGCAGAGCGGAGCCGTCATCTTCCAGCCCGTCAACAGGACGGTGCCCCTGCGTTGCCTGGAGGAGCGCTACGGAGCCTCCTCCCCAGACCCGGCCCACGAGGGCAGCCTCACGGAGGGGAGGCCGGACGCGGCCAAGAGGCTGAGCCTCAGTGTGGGCGGCACCCAGGTCCGAGAGCAGGGCTTGCCCAGGGGCAACCTCCTCAGGTGAGTCAGGGCCTCCTCGGGTGGTGTTGGGACTGCCAGGGCCCAGCTCTGCTCGGCAGACAAGCTTCCCTTAGGAGCAGAGGAATAATGAGAGATGTTAATGGGACTCCGAGTGTCATTGGACTCGCTGACCCAGGACAGTGCACGGTTACTTCCCAGTTGTGCTGCACGCTGTCGCTCAGTCGTGTCCAGCTCTTTGTGACCCCAGGGACTGTAGCCCACCAAGCTCCTCTGTCCACGGGATTCTCCAGGCAAGAACACTGGAGTGGGCTGCCATGCCCTCCTCCAGGGGATCTTTCCAATCCAGGGATCGAGCCTGCGTGTCTTAGGTCTCCTGAATTGGCAGGTGGGTTCTTTATAATTCGTGCCACTTGGGAAGCCAGTCAAGTTGGTGCCAAAAAAAAAAAGGTGCAGTTGCTAAGGAAGGGGAAGGCTGACCAGGAGAGACCTTGTGAAGGAGGTAAGGATTCCGGCTGGTCTGGAAGCTCGGGGACATTTGGATAGATGCTGCAGAGGGGAGGGCGTCCCCCTGGAGGGAGGGGCTTGGACAGAGCCTGAGTTGCAGAGTTAGAAAAGGGCAGGCATGGCTCAGAGTGCGGAAACTGGAGGAATGGAACAAAGGGTCTGTGCACGCAGGGGCTGACAGAGGGAGGTTTAGGGAGCTGACCCCACCAGATCAGGGAGGCTTTCGTACCAGACTGAGGGGTTTGAGCAGCCTCAAAGACTTAACATGGGGAATGAAGTGTCCTAAGAACAAGACAGAATGGTGATGTGCAAGAAGGGTGAGAGGGGAGAGGAGCAGGAAGGCAGCTAGTGAGCTCTGAAGAATCAGGCCATGCAGATGGAGTAGTTTGGAAAGTCAGGAGGCTCAGAACCAGGCTTCCTGAGACTCTGCTTGTGGGGAGGTGGAGACGGGCAAGTCAGATACCGCAGGAGGGACCAGAGCGGGTAGACTTTGGAGGAAAACCTGTTGCTCCATCTGAGGTGTGACTGTGGGCTTGCAAAGGGCCCGTGTCCAGCAACAGCTCTGGAGTTAGGGAGCGAAGTTAGTCCTGAAAGCTTAGATGAGGACTTGGTCCACACAGAAAGGGTGATTGACTAGGTCAGAAGAGATGAGATTCCTAAGACAGAAGACTTTGAGAGCCTGGGAGCTGCAGGCTGACCCTTGGGGGATCTTGGGGACAAGAGTTCAGAGAACTGAATACTGAGCTAGCCCCACCATCGATTACAAGTGATGTGCCCTGGGTTAACGCGCGACTTGTCTCTCATGCAGCGAAGAGTCCTTGTGCATGTTATCTAACTGCCGAGAAAAGAAAGTCGGCAAGAGTCTGTGCATTAGATTTATTTTAGACTGTGGAAACGATGTTAGAAAAAAAGCAAATTCAAGCAATTTTCTTATTCAAGTTCAAAATGGGTCAAAAGCAGAGACAATTTGCAACATTAACAATGTATTTGGCCCAGGAACTTTTAAGGAATGTACAATGCAGTGGTGGTTCAAGAAGTTTTGCAAAGGAGACGAGAGCCTTGAAGATGAGGAACATAGTGGTGGCCATTGAAAGTTGACAACATCATGAGACAAGTGCTCGGGCCTGGTGCACTGGGAAGACCCAGAGGAATCGGGTGGACAGGGAGGTGGGAGGGGGGATCGGGATGGGAAATACATGTAACTCCATGGCTGATTCCTGTCAATGTATGACAAAACCCACTGCAATGTTGTGAAGTAATTAGCCTCCAACTAATAAAAATAATGGAAAAAAAAAAGAAAGTTGACAACAACCATTTGAGAGCATCCTCTAAGCTCCTCTTACAACTACATGAGAAGTTTCCAAAGAACTCATGCTATGGTTGTTCAGCACTTGAAGCAAACTGGAAGAGTGAAAAAACTTGATAAGTGGATACCTCGTGAACTGACCACAAATTTAAAAAATTGTCATTTTGAAGTGTCATCTTCTCTTATTCTATGCAACAACAATGAACCATTTCTCAACCTGATTGTGATGCATGATGAAAAGTGGATTTTATATGACAGCTGACGACAGTCAGCTCAGCAGTTGGACTGGGTAGAAGCTCCAAAGCATTTCCCAAAACCAGACTTGCACCAAAAAAAGGTCATGGTCACTGTTTGGTGGTTTGCTGCCAGTCTGTTCCATTACAACTTTTTGAATCCCAGCGAAACCATTACATCTGAGAAGTAAGCTCAGCAAATCAATAGGATGAACCAAAAACTGCAATAGCTGCAGCTGGAATTGGTCATCAAAAGTGAAAATGAAGTTGCTCACTCCTGTCTGACTCTTTGCGACCCCGTGGACTGTAGCCCACCACGCTCCTCCATCCATGGGATTCTCCAGGCAAGAATACTGGAGTGGGTTGCCATTTCCTTCACCAGAAGATCTTCCCGACCCAGGGATCGAACCCGGGTCTCCTGCACTGCAGGCAAATGCTTTAACCACCAGGGAAGCTCCACTGGTCGTCAGAAAGGGCCCAGTTTTTCTCCACACCACCTGACCATATGTCACACAACCAACACTTCAAAAGCGGAACAAATTGGGCTGCAAAGTTTTGCCTCATCTGCCATATTCACCTGACCTCTCATCTCAACAACTTTTCACAGGGAAAACACTTCCACATCCAGCAGGAGGCAGAAAATGCTTTCCAAAAGAGTTCATTGAATCTCAAAGCATGGATTTTTATTCTACGGGAATAAACAAACTTATTTATCCTTGGCAAAGAAACATGTTGATTGTAATGGTTCTTATTTTGATTCATAAAGATGTGTTTGAGCCTAGTTATCAGATTTAAAATTCACAGTCCAAAGTTGCAATTACTTTTGTACCAGCCTAATATTAAAACACTATCTTCTGTTCTTTTGGGAGTAGGGGTTGGTTGATGAACTGATGAGTAGGGAATTAATGTGAACAGAGCCAGGGTGACCCACAGAACCCCTGCTAGAAACAGTGCTGGGAAGGGAGGCCCCTTGGTCTACCTTCAGCAACCTGAATTTAAAATACCAAAAAAAAATTTTTTTAAGATAAAAATGAAAGAAAAGCTTAGAAAGTCTCCATGTTGATAACACAAACCTAACAGAGCCACTCTTGAGGATTGCCCTTTGAAAGCAGAGCTCCCTAAGCCTTATCACACTTGGCATAGGCTGCAGGTCCAGAAAGACCCAGATGTGGGGGTGGGGTGGACTGAACAAGGAAGATGGCTAGAAGCCCTGCCCCTCCGCCCGCCAGTGGCTCCCCACATTCCCTGACGTCAGCCCAGATGGTTGCCCCCCCCACCCCCGAAAAGGTGTGCGCTTGGCCAGGTTACATTCCAGGCCAGTGTATGACCACAGAGTCTGACTGCTGGCAGGGATCACTGCTTAAACATCGCTTCACTAAAGCCACTGCCTTTTGGAATTTGCCCTCTGCCCTGCCTTATCTCTGAGGGGTTGCTGGAATTTCTCTGTTGCTGGAGTTCGGGAGCTGTTTGGTTGTTTTTTTTTTTCCTCTGGTTGTCTGCAAAGGTAGGAAAGAACTTTCACAATTTCGGTAACTTAAGTTTAGGGGTTGGGAGTGGCGACTAAAGTTCATTACGACTCGACTGGTGCAGTGCTTTCTGTTTTAGCTAAGGAGATTCTGTTCTTTGGTGCTAATTAGAGTAATTCCCGATCTGAATTAGGGTTAGAGCCATGCTGGCGAATTGTGCCATCAGGGTCTGCTGGCCTGCTTTCCCTGCGCTGCCGCGCTCTGCTTCCCGACTAGAGGCACTGCCAGTCTAAACTGGCACGGGGCAGAGCCATGCTGGTGAATTGTGTCGTCAGGGTCTACTTTCCCTGCGATGCTGTGTTCTGTGCCTACCAGCTTGCTTGATGACCCCTCGGCCCTTTCCCCGACTCAGCCCGAGGAGGCTGGCCAGGGGATCCCCCAGTGGGGTCCTTTTGAATGGGTATGACAACCTCCCTGGGCAATCCTGCAGGTTATTTGGAGGACACTGAACTTTCCACCGAACTTTCCACTGAAATGGAAACTGCCCCACAGTCTCCTTCCTAACTGTGACAGTGTGAGGCTTGGTGGAAAACGCGTGTTAGTTATACAAGTCATTCCTCCTGGGTCTGTAAGTAATTTTAGGCGCTGTTGAAAGTACACATTCCAGTTTATCAGATTTTCCTGAGAGTATCTTGAAACCTTTACCCTGCTCTGCTTAACAGGATGGAAAGACTCAGAAGGAGCAGCCTAGGATCTAACTGGATGGGTCCTGGGGACACAGCAAGAAGCCCATGGCACAGTCATGTACTCATCACCCCATCAGTGATTTCCTCCTTGACTCTTAGGCTGAACAGGAGCGCGCTCGTTCTGAGCAATCTTTTTCTTTTTTTAAACTTTCCATGACGTTGCCTAAAAGTTTTACGACTTAATGACATGTTTCTGCCCTATTTGTCTTTTGCTTCAGAAATAAAGAGAAGAGTGGGAGCCAGCCAGCCTGCCTGGATCACATGCAGGACAGAAGAGCCTTGTCCCTCAAAGCCCACCAGTCGGAAAGTTACCTGCCAATTGGTAGGTCTTTGGGAATTTGGGGGGAGGAGGGTGATGGTGTTCCCCTGATTTTCTGCAGGCTGTCTCCCCTGCTCCATCTGGTCACCTAATTTGGGAAAGACATGAGACTCCACGTCTGGAGGCTGAGGGGTTCATAGAACTGTATCCAGATGTGAATCGCTGAGCCGGACGCTTTGTATGTGTGCGTGGTACTCAGTCGTGCCTAACTCTGTATGGGCCCATGGACTGTAACCCGCCAGATTCCTCTGTCTGTGGAATTATCCAGGCAAGAATACTGGAGTGGGTTGCCATTTCCTTCTCCAAGGGATCTTCCCCACCGAGGGATCAAACCCAGGTCTCCTGCATTGCAGGCCAATTCTTTACCATCTGAGCCACCAGGAAAGCCTGGATGCTTAATGTCTGCTAGCTCTTAAGCCTCATAAGAAGCCTTTAAGGTGAGCATGATTATCCTCTTTGGGGTGAGGAGACTGAGGCATGGATATAATTGGCCTGTCTAACAGATGTATAGAACAAACTTTTGGACTCTGTGGGAAAAGGCGAGGGTGGGATGTTTCAAGAGAACAGCATCGAAACATGTATATTATCTAGGGTGAAACAGATCACCAGCCCAGGTGGGATGCATGAGACAAGTGCTCGGGCCTGGTGCACTGGGAAGACCCAGAGGGATCGGGTGGAGAGGGAGGTGGGAGGGGGGACCGGGATGGGGCATACATGTAAATCTATGGCTAATTCATGTCAATGTATGACAAAAACCACTACAATATTGTGAAGTAATTAGCCTCCAACTAATAAAAAAAATAATAATAATAATAATTGGCCTGTCTAGATGCATCTATCTAGTAAGTGGTGAAGCCAGCGTTTGAACCTAGGTTTTCTGACCCTGAGCCCAACAGCTAACTGGTGGTCATCATAACGAACACACCTTCCCCTTAGTCTCTTCTCTGGAGAGAGGGTGAATGGGTCAGTCTTGGGGTTCCTGGTAGAAACCCCGCTTCCTCTCCATTCTGCTGTCACAGCTGGAAGAGTGAGATGGCATGGAATGTGGGGGAACCAGCTAAGCAATTGTGTTAATAGGCAATGGGATTATTTTTCATTATTTTTGTAACTGACCTTCCTTGGGGAACCACAGGGTGATTTTTCTTGTCACCCCTTCATGAACTACTTGAAAGTGGTTTTTCTCAGCATCTTTTTTCTCCCTTCCCCATGTGTCTCTGTCTCTTCCTTAAAGCTGGCAGGATCCACTCTGGCTTTGAGAGTGACTCAGGGCCCTTCCTCTTTTACACTGTGTGACTAAAGACATGTTTCTTAGGGCAAGGTTAGTTTACTCACCGCCCTCCAAGCTCGATGTATTTCCCTGTTTTGACTGTATAACCTTCTGTGACCACAAAATGGCATTGCTGCCCAGCTGTGGGTAGTCACCAGGATTTAGAATTCCCCAAGAAGTGGCGTGGGGCCACCTTTGCCCTTGACATGCTCTTGACTGCTCTAGACCAGACCTGTAGTGGTCATAGTGGCTTGTCTTTGAGGATAAAAATCAAAACTCTAGGTTATGAATTGAGGGCCAGAAGATGTCACTCTAGTTTTGTCTGTTTTGTGTTTTCCTCACAGCTGAGCTTTTTCTGACCCTCTGTTATCCTCCACAGGTGGTAAGCTGCCCCCTCAGTCCCCAGGTGTGGGCACAAACCCCTGCCCAAGCTCACCAGTGTTCAGGACGGGCAGCGAGCCGACTCTGAGTCCAGCTGTGGTGCGGAGGGTCTCCTCGGATGCTAGGCCAGGGGAGGCGCTGAGGGGCTCAGACAGCCAACTATGCCCCAAGCCGCCCCCCAAGCCCTGCAAGGCACCCCTGCTCAAAGCTCCCCCATCTCCATCTATCTGGCTCAACTCTGAAGCCAACTACTGTGAACTGAACCCAGCCTTGGCGGCCGGCTATGATGGGGCATCTAGGCTGCCCTTCTGTGCCCAGGACAGCTACGTGGAATTGCTGACAGCCAAGCAGAATGGGGGGCTGGGCACCCGGAACTCTGACACCAGCTACTTGATCCTTGATGATGATGACAGGACAAGGCCTTGGAAGCCGCCGCCAGCCCCAGGGGACACAGGGCGGGAGGACCAGGACATGTTTGTGATGCCTCTCCTAGAGACCACCTCTTCATTCAAGCCCAATGACTTTGGGTCAAAGCTGCTTCCTCCTGAGAACAAGCCCCTGGAAACTTCGATGCTGAAGCGTGCAAAAGAACTGTTCACCAACAATGACCCCAAGGTCATCGCCCAGCACTTGCTCAGCACAGACTGCAAGGTAGGTGCTGGAGGGATTTCCAGAGGCTTGGAAGGGGGCTCTGTCTGGGCCTCATTCTGCCTTACCTTGTGACTTGTTTGCTCATAGGACAACGGAGATGATGACCTGGGTGTGGGATTTATTGAAGGGGTGGGAACCCAGGCTGTGACAAGCCTTGCCCAGGCAGGAAACTTGTGAAATTCACCTGGGACAGAAGGATACAGGGCCACCCAGGGTCCTCCCCCAACCCCTGCCATGCCCTTCTCCCAGCTTATGTGGATTTTCAATTCTCCCTCTGCCTCACTCCATCAGAACTGGTGAAGTCAAGTCCAAAGAAGAGTAGATTGTAGATGAAAATGGAGTTTCTGGAGTAGCAGAGCCTTCATGGTTTTTATTTTATTATATGCTACATATGTACATTATATATTTATTTTTATTGTTATGAAAATGGTCTTTAGGGTAAAATTTTTAAAGTTACTTGCTCAGTTTAGAAAAAATATAAAACAATTATAAAAGATATCATTTTAGAAAAATTACACAATACAGATTAGGAGAAAAGAAAAAATGAAAACCACACAAAATACAGTTTCTTGGTGATCACCGTTGTTAACATTTGTTCCGCCAATAGATGTGTAAATAATTGCATGCATATCTATTTTTTTACCACAGAAATGCTACAGGCCTATGCATACCACTTCAAACCTTTTTTGTCTTTCATGGAACAACAAAGCATGACTTTCCATGTGACTATATAAACCTCTATTTATGTCATCATTTTTTAAAAAAATTTTTATCATCAACATTCTTGATAGGAGGCATTTCTTTTAGATATGTGTGGCTTTTGTTCATAGCTGGCCCCAAGACAGCCTCATCCTTCAGAGAGTAATTTCTCAAAAGCAAGCGTTTAAGGCTGGGGTGTGCTTAGCCCACCCCTCAATATAAGGAGACAGATCCCTTCATTTGAGCAACAGATGAGGCCTTAGATTTAAAGCCCTTTTTCGTTTGTAGCTCAGTGAAGTCAATTAGCTTCAAAGGTCAAGGCTTATTGAGGAACTGGTTTTCCTAAATAAATTTCCTGGGTCATGAATCATGGCAGGAAATCTAATCTCCAAGCATTCCCCAGGGAGTTCCTCGGTTGATGGAGGCTCACAGGGCACATGGGACCTCCCAAAGCAGTCTTGAGGAATATTAAGCAGGCGCTGGCTGTTTTGGGGCGAACAGCTGAGGGGCTGCCAGGAATGGGGCTGTGTTGGAGGAACAAGGGCTGTCTGTGTGGTTTGCTGGATGTCCTTGAGCAGGGCCCCAAGTGGTCAGATAATTTTCCTTGTTAAGACCTTACCTCATTCAGAGGGAGCTAAACCTGTTTGGGCAGGGAGAGGATTTAGTCTCCTGTTCTAGTTAGTGTGAACAGGCCCTGGATCTGAGACAGCAGAACCACACCAGCAGGCCAGGAGCATGGTGTGAACCTGTCTGAGCTCTCGGTGGAGGAAGTTCCTTGTGGGAACATGGCTCTGGGTTTATAGAACAGCCTAATTTCTGGGAGGAAATAAATGCTTCCCCTCTGTGTTCTCAGGCAGGACTTGGTAGTAGTCTAGGAGGAGATGAGAGGCCCGACTGCTCTTCACAGGAGAGTCTGGAACCTTCCCACTGCCTTGGCAGTCTGTTCTCAGCTGAAGGAATGTGTAGCCTCCTCTTTGTTGTTTCTCTGTCTGCGTCTGTCCTCCTGGTGGGGTCCCCCCCCCCATATGCTTTTAGGCACCCCTGGAAGAGGCGCTGGATGGAGCCCCCAGGCAGCGAGGCAGAGACCTGAGTGGGAGACCCTGACCATGAGCCCACCCCCAGTCCCCAGGGTGGGGCTGTTTCGTCTTCCTTCCTCCCTCATTTCCTTATCCTCTTCCTGAACTACTGACTTCAGGGCTTTGCCAACAGGGCAAGAGCAGCAAGCTTGTTTTACTAAGAAGTAAAACAAAGGCTGTTGTCACTGATCTGACTCTAACTGCAACCAGACCAGCCCACCCGGAAGCCTAGAGCTGACGCAGGGCAGCATCCAGGGCCCAAGTGCTGGTTCCCACCTGTGCCCAGAGCCCAGCCTGTGGGGGCTGTGGGTGGTCCTGAGTGCCCGGAGGCAGCAGGGTAAGCCCCTCCCCAGGCTGGGGCTGGGTGGGCGTCCACTGAGCTGCTCCCACCCTGTGTATGGGTAACGCCCTGCCTTACCCACTTGTCTCTGCAGAAGCTAGATGGAGACAGTTCCAGTGGCCAAAGGCCTGGCCTCTGGGGGTGAGCTGCTGAGTCTAACACCACCTCCTCTGCCTTTCAGAGTTTCTAAAGGGAGAAGAGAGCGCCACAACCCAGGTACTTGTGAAGACTAAAGCCCTCTACGGTGCCTGCCCCAGAGTGAGGCTGAGTGACGGTTCCCTAGTGTTATGTATTGAGCCTTGATTGAACACCAACTGTAGGCCAGGTCAGGTCAGGCCAGGTCATGGTGGGAGAGGCAGGAGTGACAGTGACATAGAATTCAGACCACGGTCCAGGTGGGAAATGCTCTGCAGGACCTCCAAGGTAGGGTCTCAAACATAGTGGAGCAAGGGGTCAGGGTGGGGATTTCTGAGACAAGCTTTGAAGGCTGAATAGGAGTTGGTGATGCTGAACACAAAAGCATCTTCCAGGTGGCAGGCAGCGCACACTTGCAGAGACTGAGAGGCCAAGAACCATAGGAGGGAGGGGTATTGGTTTATGGAGGATTCACTCTGGATGGGTAGTGAGGGAAATGAGGTCTGCAGGGGGAGGGCCTGGAAAAATCTGTCTTTCTTTAAGTCTCTACTTCTGGGCTCTTTCCAGGTTGCTGCTTTCAGGGCACTCTGCAGTGTTTGAGTGAGGGAGACAGGCCCGTAAGTGCAGAGTGCCCATCAGAGTCCTCTATAGAGGGCAACCGAGACGGCGACCTCATTTCTCAGTAGATGGTTCCTGGCAACTGGGAAGAAGGCTGGTCAGGCCCCTCTCAGGGCTCCACTGGGTCACCACAGCCATTCCCCAGGCAGTCAGATGAGGAGCGGGCGGAACTAGGAGACCCTGCAGAGCCAGGATGGCTAAGATCAGGAGAGCAGAAGGCAGCCGGGTCTCATGGGGACGGGTGTCATCCTGCTCTGCCGGGTCCAGCTCACAGTGAATCCTCTAGAAGTGCTCGTCCTTCCTCTCCATCTCTGAGCAGCATGGCCCCAGGCTTTCCCAGGAGACCTAATCCAGGCTGCACTGTGACCTCAGGACCCCTTGTCCCAGAGCTCAGCCTTGGGGCAACCAGGTGTTGGCATTTCCTGGTAATACGTCAGGAAAGTGACCAGGGGACTGCATGTTTACACTGAAGGAAAACAGGCCAGAGAGGAAAACAGCTTCCAGAATAAAAGTGAATCAACGACAACCCTCTGACTCTTGTTATTGTTATTGAATGTGTTAGGTTTAGAGCCTCTGACAGGGCAGATGTCTAAACAAGCAAAGTGTGTGTGATTGCAGGTGACCAGGGTGTGCATCTGGGCTGCTTTGCCATGGTCCAGGCGTAAATCTCTTTCCAGAGATCAGGCCAGAATTCTTCCCCCCTTGCACGTGGCCAGTGATTCATAACTTGGCTTTGTAAATAGCTCGGGTTTTAGAGTCATTTAATCCTTGGCAAAGTCCTTGAGGAAGGTAAACTCAGCAGTTGTTTTAGAGAAGGGGAAACTGAGGCCAAGAGCAGATGAATCCTGAGTCTTATTCTGGAGTCTGCACTGGACAGCTCATCCCCAGGGCTGATGGTGGTGCCTTTGCTCAACTACAGAAGTTAAAGGTCAAGGTTAATATCAGCTAAACTGCCAGATGTTTTTGGTGGACTGTTATGAAGACACCTGGACTGTTCATATGCTCAGGATAATTACAGTGGAGGACAATGTCACAGGAACAAGGAAGGGAATTGTCCTGTGCCTGCCACATGTCCAGGGATGGTTTGACCCATTATATCTGCTAGCTGGACCTCCCCTGGTGGTTCAGCAGCTAAGAATCTGCCTGCAATGCAGAAGCCACAGGAGATGCCGTTTCAATGGGAAAATCCCCTGGAGGAGGGCATGGCAACCCACCCCAGGATTCTTTCCTGGAGAATCCCATGGACAGCCTGGCAGGCTCCAGTCCATAGGGTTGCAGAGTCGGACATAACTGAAGCGACTTAGCACACACGCACATCTGCTCATTGCACTGTTAGCATCAACATATCAGTGCTCTCTGAGTGTCCCCTGACTCAGTTGTAGCATTTGGAGGTAATGTAATAACTATAAGTGGTTAACTAATACCTGATTCCAATAAGCTGTGATCACACACTGGAACTGAGATGGGGGCGTGCTGAGTGGGACAAACAAACCAGATTTTCTTTAAGGAAGACCTCTCAGGGGGAGAAGTGGGTGTGTTTGAGACCTCGGGTTTCACATAGCCGTACATGTTTCTAATAGTTTCCAGATGTACAATGCGTTTACTGAGCCCAGGAGAGGCGTAATTACGGGTAATAGGAGCCAGCTCTGCCGTTAAGCGAGAACATGAACGGCAGAGCCTGCAGCAGAGTGGCACTTGGACGCAGCTCCACTTTTCCACTGCTGGGGATCAGTCTGCTCCACACACACACAGTCCTGCTGTTGGCAGCAAATCTAGCAGCAGGATCCAGCCATGTTAGACACAAGCTTGAAGAACCACACCATTCTCTGGCCGGGCAGAAACACCAAATCTGCAGACCAGTCTAGGTACTTTCCTGCCAGGTTTTACATTCCAGTATATGTATCAAAAGCCTCCAAATAGTGTATTAAAACTGTATTTTCAGATGCTGCTGCTCAAAAAGAAGTGCAACAAGTCAAGTGCATCCACAGTGTCCCAGTTTAGTGTATTTCTTTCCATGTTCGCACCAAGCCCACTTCCTGGTCCAGTTCATTTCAACCTGTATTCTTGACAGGTCGCGAGGATACTTGAAGTCTCGGAAGAGATGAGGAAGAACATGGGCGTGAACTCAGGGCTGGAGCTCATCACCTTGCCTTATGGTCACCAACTGCGCCTGGACATCATTGAAAGGTGAGTAGTGCTGCTCTGTACTTACGGTCCTTTCAACTCCACAGGCTGTCAGAGCTACAGGCTTCAGAGAGAGGCCAGGTACCCTCTGCCCCAGGGCCACCTCGCTCAAGGAAGTGTGGAAGCCATGACCAGAGAATTCCTGGAGAAGCGCTCCATGGGCGGATGGAAAAGCCGGCAGAGGCTCCGCCCTGGAACACAGGTCACCATCACCCCTGCTGGCCTGGGCTGGGAGCAGTGCTGCAGGCAGATGGAGCGGGGGTGCCCTGCCGCTTCCCTCCAGCCTGAGCTGCAGCCCCTCTCTCTGCATTAGGAACTAAGTGGGGGTTTGTGGGGGGAGTTGGGAAGAACAGGGTCTGAACAGTGTTTTCTTTGAAGTGTGGACAAATGGGAGATCAGAGGGCAAGGGATGAGGTGCTTAGGCCCCCGACCTCTGAAGCATCACTGCCCTCTTCTCATGGAAAGCCAGGGCCCTGGCTGGCCATTAAAACCCACTCACGTCAGATATTTAGAAATTAGAAAGGTAGAAGTAGCGAGGCACGTTTTTAAGAAGCACTAGACTAGAATCTCATATTATCATAGAAGTTGGCCTTTTTGATACACATGAAAAGATAGTTGTTTTGGGCAAGACTGTTTTGTTATCTGAAGTTTTCTGTTTTTCCAACCAGCTTCCCAGTTGCCACAGCACTCAAGTGGTCTTTAGTGGGCAGCCAGGGCCCTGGCTTCTCCTGAGAAGAGGACAGTGATGCTTCAGAAGCTGGGGCCCTAGCACCATCATCCCCGCCCACGGTTTTCTGTGATGTTCTGGGTCACAGTGCAGCCCAATACAACACTGATGGCAGCAATCTCCTGACAGCATCCACTAGCCACTGGGGATACTGAGCACCTGAAATGTGGCAACGGAAGGATGAAATGTTTTATTTTATTCTTCAGCATTTTAAGTATATAAATATGGCCACATGTGGCTTGTGGACAGTGTAGTCCTAGACTACCGCTAGCCCCTAGAAAGTAAACGCTGGATTTCAAATGGCCTGGGAGAGCTGGTAACAGCTGCTTTCAAGGTTACCCGACTGTGAAGCACATAAATGGCTCCAGTGCCTCTGTTGCTTTGCTTCCCGTAGGAGACACCCAGAGTGCCGAACGGAAGACTTCTGGGGGTCAGGAGGGCCGGACGTGGCCCTGCTGCCGGTGTTCAGGCATGCCTCTCAGCTTGTTGTTCAGTGTCTTTGGGCAGTGGTAGGTCTGACTTCTGAATTTCCCTGCCTGCCCTGCTCACTCTTCTAGATACCAGCCCTGCTCTCCAAGGCATCCTCTTCCCTCCCCGTGCCCCAGGGGCCTGGCTTCTCATGCCCACTAACCTGCCCTCCCTCCTGGTCTGGGCCCATGGTCGTTGGCTCAGCAGAGACCAGCTGTGCTGCCGTGCATCGCTGTTTCTCCTGAAACTTTTCAGACTGAAAACTCCCCAGGGGTAGGCCGTGTTTATCTGTGGCTGTGCTGGGTCTTCGTGGCTGCACAGGCTTTCTCTATCTGTGGCAGGCGAGGGCTGTTCTCCGTCGCGGTGTGCGGGCTTCTCACTGCATGGCTTCTCTTGTTGCAGAGCACAGGCTCAGTAGCTCTGGCCTGTGGGCTCTGTTGCTCTGCAACACGTGGGATCCTCCCAGACCAGGGATCAAACTCATATTCCTTGCATTGGCAGGTGGATTCTTTACCACTGAGCCACCAGGGAAGCCCTGCAGGCCTTAAATGTCATCAGTTTCATTAGCTGTGTTGGGCATGCATTATGGGTGCCCAGACTGAGGTCAGCAGGCTTGTGGCTTCTCTCTGGGCTATTTTCTGACTTCCACTCTTGTCTACATCCATTTCCTCTTTCTCCTGATTGCTGCCTGCCTGGGGTCTGGCTCTTTGCTTTGTTCCCCATCCAGAACTGACCTGTGGGATCTACCTGCTAGGGCCTGGGGAGTGGCTCTCTCCATTACAATATGTCTACTAAATAAAGGTTACAGCAGTCCTGCAGGATCAGATGATACCCTTGTGTTTGAGAGTCTAATATAAACCCCTCTCCATTTTAAACTTACCACCACCCATTCCAAGGCGAGTGAGCAGAGATGTCCTTCTGAAATGTTTTGTGTCTCTTACCCACCTCAGGAGCTTCTGCTACACACTTGCCTTGCTGAGCTGTTTTTCCCAAGGTGGTGTGTGCAGGAGGTTTGAGGCAAATGTTGTTTGAATGGATGGATATAATTACCCAATTAACTGTTGATATAAAGCCAGGTCTTAAAGAAATAGATAACCTGTCTTTTATTAAGGACCATTAAAACACAGGAAAAAAATATTGACTAAAGAATCAATTGAAGGCAACATGGGAAGTTAGTTTACTATTAAACAGCTAAAATGTTCATCTCAACCTTAACACTTTGCAAATGGGTAACAAAACTCTTCAATAAGTTTAACATAATAAAAATATACTTTAAGTCTATTTTAAAGATCCATTGATTAAGAAAGACAGGAAATTAGCAAAAGAAGACAAAGGAAAGAGAGACAGGCAAAAGGGACCAAGATACAGAGGGAGAAATGCACACATAGATACCAGTGTAGTAACAACTGCTATTTGCTAGGTACTGCTGAGCCAGGCACTTTATCTTTACACACACACACACACACACACACACACACACACACACACAGTCTTTCTCACAACAGCCCTTGTTCCCGTTTTAGAGATGAGGAACTAAGGGAGTGGAGCAGTCAGGTAACAGCCTAAGGTCACACTTTGAGCAGCCACCTTGCACACCCACATGTGCAAACGCGCAGAGCCTGCTACTGATTTGAAATCACTGGGGAAACTGGTAGTGCTAGCCGCTAGATGAGTCACTCCTGTCTCTGCTCTGGAAGAGTGAGGAGGCCAGCACAGGAAGCGTGGAATACCGTCCTTAGCTGTGAGCTTCTAGGACAAGGTGGCCCCAGAATTTCAGAGGCAAGTCACATTGTAGCGACCATCGCTGTGAATTAGCGCTTCACCTTCAGCACCCGTACCAGTACCTGGAGAGAAATTTACCCAAGGCCACTCTGGTGCCCCAGCTGGTAGAGAATCCACCTGCAATGCAGAAGACCTGGGTTCTACCCCTGGGTTAGGAAGATCCCCTAGAGAAGGAAACAGCTAAGCACTCTAGTATTCTGGCCTGGAGACTTCCATGCACTGTATAGTCCATAGGTTCACAAAGAGTCAGACACGACTGAGCAATTTTCACTTTCACTCTGGCCCAAGGTGAGGAATGCTCATTCCTGGGCCACAGAGGGAGGGAGAGGCAGGTTTACAGACTGCTGCCACCAGGAAGGAGACCTCTCTGTGACCCCATTCATATCCATCCCATTGTCTGTACAGAAAAGACCACTCTGCTTCCTGTTCTGGGTCTGCGCAGTTGACCTGTGGCGTTCAGGATGAGAAAGGGAGGATTGTTGGTAGATACAAAATTTCTTTCTATGAGGGTCTGACCTTACAGAGAAATCCTGCCAGCTCACTGTTGAGTCTTTGTCCACATTTCCACTCACTTTCTGGCCCCTTGACCCAAGCCACTCTATTCTTAGCTCCTCATCCCTTGTTCTCACATCCATGTTGTCTTCCTTGATCAAGCATATTATCTCATCTTTCTGTCCCTTCCATCCCCCAGTCCAGGGGGCTCAGGGACTTCCCTGAGGAAAGGGTTCCTCAGTGTGTTGGGGACCTGGCATCTCCGCGGACCTGTCATGGTGAGAGGGACAAGGAGCATGTGCACTTCTGAGCAGCTTCAGCACAGGAAGGCCCTTTCATGCCCCTTGCTCCAGGGTTGAACACTCCATGTCCTGGGGTATCTGTCCTTTTTGATCCTCCACAGGATGCCCACTGAGGCCCTTCTGCAATCTGATGGGGGTGGTCTCTCGGTTACAATCAGCAACCTAACTGTGTGGGCTGCCAGTGTGTCTCAGGAAGACAGCGGCAAATGGTGCAAAGCAGTTTGGCCAGTTTGGTTTCATTTCCTCCTGGTCCTATTAGCCCTGGGCCTGATTGCTCATCTCCTTCCTTTCAGACACAACACGATGGCCATCGGCATTGCAGTGGACATTTTGGGCTGCACGGGCAGTCTGGAGGAGAGAGCAGCCACCCTCAATAAGATCATCCAGGTGGCTGTGGAACTGAAAGACTCCATGGGGGACCTCTATTCTTTCTCAGCCATCATGAAGGCCTTGGAAATGCCACAGGTAAATTTCCACTTGCTGTGTGCAGCCCTGTGGGCCTAGGTGTACTTAATGCTCTGCAAAGTGGTCTTCAAGTCCATGCCTAGCAAACCACAGGTGACTTTAGTCAATTCAAAAGGTAAATCGTGTCTTAGTGAAAGCTGCTTTGATCAGGGGGCAAACAAGAGCCGCATTGCAAGTTTCTGGCTCTGTTTTTAAAGACAGCAGATAATCGCTGACTACCTACACTTTCTCTGTGATGTATAAGAAGAAGAGTCATCCTTAAGAACAACAGATGTTCCTGAAGAACCAGTTAGGGTGATACATCTGGCTCAAGTGTGTTGTGTAAGAAAGACTGCTTCCATCTGGGTCACTGGACAGGCAGGCTGTTTGGGGTTATGACCGGGAAACCAAGACATTTGGGGAGCTGATCTCTGAGGATCCCTAGGATGGTTTATCTCAAAGTATGTTCCTCAGGTCACCTAAGACAGACTCTCCTGTTAAAAGACTCAGCTTCCTGGCTCATTTGCCATACAACCCCCTAAAGCAGAGTTTCTGAAATCAGGCACTTTGAATTTATCTGCTTGTTTTTAGGATGAGGGTTGAAACCGAAAATTTGTTTTTGAAGCCAAGTGGACCTCATAGAGGTAGACGCTCAGTGACTTCGAGTACGAGATCACAGTCCCACAAACCGAATCTGCAACCAGTCACACCAAAGCCACTGCTCATTTAGCTTGGCTATTTCGCAGCCAGCCACAGGTTCTCTGAAATCCTGCATGTTAAGAACATAATTTCCTTGTATGAAACCAAGGTCACCTTTCAAACAAGAAGCTGAAGCGCTTCATGCTTTCACCAAGAAATTTTGAGAAGGGTCAATTCCAATTATAATATTCTAAGAACTTTCAAATTTCTTTAGATACACTGAAATTATTTGGGTCAATATTTGAAATAAGCAAGTTCAGCTGTATTTTCATGATATATTGACTTATACTAACATGAGTTATCATTTTTCATTTGGGTGTTTTTAATTTATGTCATGTTTATTTCCTTTTATCCAAAACTGCCTATAATTCTGAGGACTTAATAGGCTAGCTGTTCGTATAGCTTCCCAGCCCAGAGCTTCCTCTGAGAGTAGTGAAGGGGAATTTTGTGATATTAACATGGTTGCTTTCCATGACATCAAACTCAGCAATTAGGGACTTACCCCAAAGCACATGAACATGGCTTTATAGGTAGTCCTCCCATCCCACAGCAGCATCATCCTCTCCCTTTCTGCAGCGCTTCAGCAATGAGGGGGCAGAGTCCTCCAGAGTGCTCAGGGCTCGGCTTGGGGTGGGGAGTGGTAGGCCCAGGGAAAACCAGAGACGAGAGTCATGTCATTTCTGTGTCAGGTCACCTAAACCTGACCCTGGACTACAGCCATTTGTGCTGCCTTCTCTTCTCAGTTTCCGGTATCAAGAGAGAGCATCCAGGAGGTGGGCCTAGCCCAGAGATAAGGGCTCCTTTCAGAAAGGCGGATGCTTCAGGGCAGGGAAGAAGAAGGGGGCGGGAGAAGAAATGGTGGCATCCTGGGTGGCCGGAGGAAGATAAGTCACATCCTCCCCTTCCCAGCAGACCTCTGATGGTGCTCCCTTCTCACCTTCCTCTTGGAATACACAGGGAGTTCTTAGAGGCCAAGGAAATGAATCTCAGCTCTGCCATTTAGCTGTGAAACTTGACCAAGTTACCTAATCTCTTGTCTTCTGATCTGTAAAATAAAGTCAAAATACTGTCTCATAGAGCACCGTGAGAATTAAATGAAATTCCTCAAATACCTAACAGCATTGGCTCTCATTCCCTAAATATTAGTTCCCTTTCCCCCCTTCCTTGTTTCATGTAGAAGACATCAGACATGGACTTGCTGGTTTTAGGGTGTGAATGGGGGACTATTAGGATAGTCAGAGTCAGTGGCATATGTTGGTCCAGACTAAATGATTCCAAAGAAATGAGCAGTGGCATCATGTGGCCCAGGCAATTTTCCATGTGTCTCAGACTTTATTACTTAAAAATAACATTAAAATGCTTAAGATCATAATTCTATATCCTTACATCGGTATAAACTCTGTGGAGGACAGTTGTCTATGCCTACCAAGATTTTATTTCTTGACCCAGTAGTTCTACTTCTGGAAATTTATCCTCCAGATATTCTCTTACTTGTGCACATCTGCAAAATCTTTGAGATAATTCTATAACAGAAAAATATTTAAAGTTCTTATGTATAGGAAATTAGTTAAACTATGGTTTATGCATAAATGGACCATTAGAAGCTTAATAAAACAATACTGTTGTATTCTGTTCTGTATGTACTTATGTGAAATAACTTCCAAACAAGGAACAGGAAAATATGTGTATAGTATGATATGCATTTATTTTAAAAGGTGTGTGTGTCTAATGGGTCATGAGAGCAACATGGAGCAGGGAGTGGGTAAGGATTAGCTTTTCTCTATACTCTCCTTTCAACTGCTTTGAGTTTTTATCATGTCCATCTATCATCCATTTCAAAACTTACGCACCAAGGTAGTTTTAAAAAGAGCCTTTTCCAAAGCTATAACACTTTTATTTCTTCCAGATCACGCGGTTAGAAAAAACGTGGACTGCCCTGCGGCACCAGTACACACAAACCGCCATCCTCTATGAGAAGCAGCTGAAGCCTTTCAGCAAAATCCTGCATGAAGGCAGAGGTGAGCACAGGCGGCCTGGGGGCTGCTCGGCAGTGTCATTATCTGTTCTGGTTTGAGCAAAGCTTTTAGCAGGGCATGTTATAAAGGCTCCAAGTTATCTGCAGGATTGTCAATGAGTCAGCAAGCCTTTATCAGATGACAGAGTTGCTTGTAGGTATTCAGTTGCTAAAACAAGACGTAGGATACCAGTCACCTCATTTTGAGCTTAACTTTGTAAACTGAGGTACAGTTTACATATTAGCTTCAGGTGTACAACATAATGGTTCAGTATTTGATTATGTTGCAAAATGATCACAATAAGACCAGTTAATATCCATCACCATACCTAGGTATAAAATTTTTTTTTCTTCTGATGAGAACTTTCAAGATTCACTTTGCTAGGTACTTTCAAATATGCAATATAGTATTCACTATAGTTACCATGCTGTATAGCGTATCTCCAGGAGTTACCTTATAACTGGGAATCTGTACCTTCTGAGCCCTTCAACCATTTCACTTCTCCCTTTATCTCGGGCAACCACCAATCTGTCCTCTATATCCATGAGCTCAAGGGGTCTTTCTGTTTTTCTGACTCTACATGTGAGTGAGTTCACATGCTATTTATCTTCTTCTGACTGACATATTTCACTTAGCATAAAACCCTTAGTATAATACCCTGAAGTTTGTGTTGTCACAAATGGCAGGATTTATTCTTTTTAATGGCTGAATAATATTCCATTGTGTGTGTGTACACACATATGCATCTTTTAAAATTGAAGTTATAGTTGATTTATGATGTGTAAATCTAGTGTACAGCAAAATAATTTTTATATATTTAATATTTTTCATTATAGATTACTACAAGATATTAATTATAGTTCCCTATGCTATACAAAAGGACCTTGTTGTGTAAATAAGTTCATTTGTATCATTTTTTAGATTTCATACATAAGTGATATCATGAGATATCTACCTGTCTGACTCACTTCACTCAGCATGATAATCTCTAGGTCCATCCATGTTGCTGCAAATGGCAATGTCTTTTTTTCTGGCTGAGTAGTATTCAATTATGTACATACATATACCACATCTTTCTTTATCCACTCATCTGTTGAGTGACATTTAGGTTGCTTCCATATCTTGGCTATTGTAAATAGTGCTGCTATGAACACTGAGGTACAGGCCTCTTTCCAAATTAAGGGTTTTCTCCAGATACATGCCCAAGAGTGGGGTTGTTGGATCATATAGCAACTCTTTTCAGTTCTTTAAGAATCTCCATCCTGTTCTCCATAGTAGCTGCACTAATTTACATTCTCTCCAACAGTATAGGAGGGTTCCCTTTTCTCAACACTCTCTCCAGCATTAATTATTTGTGACTTTTTGATGTGATACCACTGTGAAGTAATACCTCATTGTAGTTTTGATTCACATTTCTCTGATAATTAGCAATGTTGAGCATCTATTGTCTATTGAGCATCATGTATCTATTGGCCGTCTGCCTATTTTTTCAGGGGGCTATTTGTTTTTTTGCTAGTTGTATATTTTCAAAATTAAGCCCTTGTCAGTTACATCATTTGCCAATATTTTCTTCCATCTGTTGGTTGTCCTTTCATTTTGTTTATGGTTTCCTTTGCAAAAACATGTTTAATGAGGTCCCCTTTATTTTTGCTTTTATTTGTACTACCTTGGGAGACTGATTTAAGGTAAGATTGCTATGATTTATGCCAGAGAATGTTTTGCCTATATTATCTCAGAGTTTTATGGTACTGTGTCTATATGAGTTTATTTTTGTGTATGGTGTGAACAGAAGTGGTGGAAAGTTTTTAGCTTTTCAAGTATGATGTTAGCTATGGGCTTGTTATATGTGGCCGCATTATGTTGTTGTACATTCCCTCTATATACACTTTGTTGGGAATTTTTTTTTATCATAAATGGATGTCAGATTTTGTCAAATGATTTTTCTGCATCTATTAAGATCAAATTATTTTTCTTTCATCTTATTAACACAGTTATGTCATGTCGATTTGTGAATATTGAGCCATCCTTGTTTCCCTGGAATAAATCCCACTTGATCAATCCATATGATCCTTTTAATGTATTGTTGAATTCAGTTTGCAACTGAATTATAGGTCAATATTGACCTATAATTTTCTTTTCTTGTGGCATTATAAAGGTTACAGTCCTATAGGATCCATGGGCATAAGCCCCTTTGGCCATCAGAGCTAGGCAATGTATAGTGTTCTAGAGGTAGATGGACAAAGGTACAAGCTCTTTTCTAGGATATATCAATCAATGAGCTGGAGCAAGGCAGAGAGCAAACACAAAGACTGCATCATCTATCGGCTTTCATTTGCTGAGGGCCTCCTAAGCCCTTCTTTCAGGCTAAAACTTTAATATTGGCAAATGAGCCTAATTTGCATAATATCTAGGCACCTCTCAATTGGCTGCCTCTGTACCAAGCTCTGGATCAGGTGAGTTCAAGCTTGTAAGCCCTTTAAGACCTGTTTCTCAGATAATTATAGCCTTGAGGTCTTATAGAGAGGTACAGTGTTGAGTTTCAAAGTTAGATGTTTGGGGGGTTTGTATCTCGGGTGATCTTAAAAGTTGGGGTGCTACACGTGGGGTTCAAGCCCTTTGCTCCTCAGGTTGAAGCTCCAGGTTTTGAGCTCCCTCCTGACTCTGGGTCACTGCCCCAGGGGAGGGTTTATAGTGTGATAGTAGGTAAGAGGGGCTGGGAGACTTTTATGTGGGTCTTATTTGCACAATGCAGTCTTTAGGATTTTTTCCAGCGGAAGTTGTTCCATACTTAGCCATAGATTCACTGTGTCCACAGAAGGCGGTAAGCCCAGGACTCTCCCACATTGCCATCTTCAACTGAAACTCTCTGCGTTTAACTTGGGGGGAAAAAAAAACATGATGTGGAGAACTTTATCCCTGCCCCTGTTTTTCAGAGTCCACATGTGTTCCCCCAAACAATGTATCAGTCCCACTGCTGATGCCTCTTGTGACCTTAATGGAGCGCGAGGCTGTCACTTTTGAAGGAACTGACATGTGGGAAAAAAACGATGAAAGCTGTGAGATTATGCTGAACCATCTGGCAACAGCCCGACTCATGGCGGAAGCTGCAGACAGCTACCGGATGAATGCTGAGAGGATCCTGGCAGGTAAGAGCTGGTTTTGGTTAAGCTGCTCTCTACTCTGCACAGTAATTGGAATGAAGGAATGACAAGAGCATAGAAAAAGACCAAGTAGGAAAGATTAAGACCTGGGAATTCCATTTCTTGTATTACTTACTCTTAATTCCTACCTGACTTAAGGATCCTGCTTCTCTCTCCTTTTGTGTCAGTGGTATAAGAAAACAGAGAAAGGATCAAGAAAGAATCTGTCAGTTTGTTTACCATTAGTACCACTAATAATCATTATTAGAAAACATGATGGGCCCACATGAGGAGTTGGGGTTCTATTGGACTTATCTATATTCTTGTTTCTTCCCAGACACACTAGGACATGAGCTCCTCTGCTCTTGGCATCAGAAGGTCCGCCATAAGCCAAGGCTCTGAGATTGAGAGTTTGGAGAAAAGCACAAACCACAAAGTACATTGATCCAAACTTGGGTTTGGGTTAGTGTGACATGTGTCTTCAGGAGTGGCCAGCTAGGCTAAAGAGTGGGATAGAGGTGGGAAGGCCTTCCATGTAGGACTGTGGCTGAGGAAGAGCCAGTGAAGGGTTTTAAATATAAGAAGATGTTATCACATGGTTAGATTTGTTTTTAGTCTGGCATCTTTGCGCAGGAAGGCTGGAGGGCTGAAAAGTGCCCTCAAGCAAGGCCCTTCAAGAAAAAGGGCCTTGTCTCTTCACCACTGTATAATTTTTAAAACTCTTCAAGGAACTACAGTTTGATCCAGAAGGTTAAGAACTATATGGGGCAGGAGAGGTCTATTATTTTGACCTAAAACAAAGTTGTTAATTCAGAAACAGAATTTGGGACTAAACAACTTGCACTATGTCTGCTATAGGTATAAGCAATACATACGTGTTTCTTTTCCTCAGAAAGTTCAGCAGGGTTGGCAGTACAGGACTCAGATGCTAATTATCAGAGCTCCCCTGGTGGCGCAAACAATAAAAGCATATATAATTCAAGTCAGTAGATATTATTAGAATGCCTGCTTATACAAAACCAATAAGTATATTACAGTAGATGTTCTAAGCCAATATATCAGAGTGGATTTTGAGAAAAGTATGTTTTAAGCTGTTTTACAGCAAATCACCTTAAAGGTATTTGATACTTCTCAGCTGATCCTGCTACAGGTTTTCACAGCAAGTTCTTATTGCTGGAATTAACTGTGAACCCAGTAAGGGCGGAAATTTGCTCACCAACATACCCCAGTACCCTGCCCAGGAGAGGGGCTTAAAGCAGATTAACTGAATGAATGGAAGTTGTCATCTGGCCTCTAGTTGGTTATCTGCCAAAGATATTTTGGCATCACATGGAAGAATGAAATAGAAGGCTTCTGTTATCCTCTCAACCACCAAGAGACTATGATTCAGATGCTGGGACTATATTTAATGACAGAGCCAACTACTCCAGCAGTAATCAAGGATGAGAAACATCTGTCTGTATGACTCAAGCTAGAGGTTTCCCCTGCTCTCATAGAGTTGACTGAGAGCATCCTTGGCCATAAGTAGAACAGATCTCTTACAGAGAAAAGAGAGTTAAGAAATGGGCCCAAACATGTGATTGTTAACTGGTTTTTCTTGACAAAGGTGGCAAGGTAATTCACTGGATAAAGTAATCTTTCAACAAATGGTGCTAGAACTATTGAATGTCATGCAAAAAAATTTTCAATTTTACCTCAAAGAATACACTCAGAGCTCTTTACACTAAGAGCTAAACTGTAAAGCTTCTATGAGAAAACACAGAAATTCCTTGTGTCTGGCAAAATTTCTTAAGACATAAAAAGCATGAACCATAAAACACTGATAAATTAAAATTTTACATTTTGCTCTTTGAAAGACATCATTAAGGAAGCAAAAAGGCACACTACAGACTAGAAGAAAGAATTTGGCAAACATACATCTGATAAAGGACTTATTATCTAGAATATATTCTTACAACTCAATGAGAAGAAAAGATTTGAATAGACAATACCAGAGAGGATATACAATGACAGATATCTATATGGAAAAATGTTCAAAGCATTAGTTATTACAGAAATATAAGATTAAACCACAGTGAGCTGCCACCACCACCATCTAGAATGACAACAGAGTTCACAACTGCACTCTTCATTATGTTACTGATGAGAATATAAGACAATATAGACATTTTGGAAAAGAGTTTGACAATTTCTTTAAAGTAAACATATATTTACCATATGACCCAGTACTTCCAAAGATATGAAAACACATGTCTATGCTAAGACTTAATCACAGATGTTCACATTATTTGTAACAGCCAGAAACTGGAAACAATCCAAATGTCTTACCACTCGGTAAACAAAATGCAGTATATCCATATAACTGAATACTACTCAGCAATGAAAAGGAATTATTAACAGGCAACAATATGGAATAATATCAAATTTCTAGAAAAGGCAAAATAGCAATGAAAAGCAGATTAATGGTGTGGGATAGGTTCAGGGATTGACTGAGAAGAGGTACTAGGGATTTTCTAGGGTTCTAAAGTGGTGTGATGTTTGCACAACTCTATAAACTGTGCAGCTAAAAAAAGGGTGAATCATGACAAGTAAATTATAAAACTTAAAAAAAAAATACTTTGAACACTCCTGCACTACAACCATGGTGGCTTGTGGACACAAATTTTATTCTGTCATATCTTAGTGACTTAGTTATTCTTTCTTTGAAGTTGCTCAGGTCCTTGGGGGTGGGGGGTGTTCTCCCCTTCCTTATATAGAAAGATCCTGTATTTTTCCTTAAGGGCATGTTTTAAGTTCTGAGAGATGTTCATTTTGATCCTACTTGAAACAAGCAAGTTTTCAGTCTATTTTCAACACTGTTTCAAGCAGAACTGAAGTTTTTATGGTTTTGTTTTTATTAGGTTTTCAACCAGATGAAGAAATGAGTGAAGTCTTCAAGACTGAATTCCAAATGAGATTGCTATGGGGCAGCAAAGGTGCACAAGTCAATCAGACAGACAGATATGAAAAATTCAATCAGATTTTAACTGCCCTCTCACGTAAACTGGAACCTCCTCCTGTAAAGCAGATGGAGTTTTGATAACTCTCCAGAGAAGCTTAGGATATAATTTCAAGCTTATCCACTTTCTCCTCTGAGAAAGCTTATCATTTGATAAAGTAATAATGTGCAAATCTGACAATATACAGCTTTTAGTATCCACAGGATATTAAACATGTAAATTGCACAGAGCACACTTATTTATCAATTGTTTAAAATTACTACTGATTTTAAAATAAATAATTTATTAAGGTAACTGTTGCTAATGTTGATCAGCAAATTTAAGTGAAGACCCAGCTATATTGACTGGTTGCTTTCTATTACTGAGGTATATGACCATTTCAGTTTTAATTCCATGTCAGATAAGTGTAAATAGAAGAGTTTAAAAGCATGAAACTGAAGATATCAGTTGTATGATATTCTCTAACTAAATATGAAAAATGTAAATAGTCATATGAAAATATATCTTTTTGTGAAACAACTGTATCCAGTCTCTTTAATACTAAACAATTTATTGTAGTACAATAATTCTACCGCCTACCTTCTTGGGGCACCCTGTTCCCTTGCCACCACATCCTTATTGTAAACCAAAATCGAGAGAGTGGTACAGAAAATCTAAGGTACCTGGCTCAGGGGACCGGGTAAAATAGTGATAAAGGTGGAGCTGACACCAGAACACCTAAGTTACAACAAAAGCTCTGGTGCTTGCAAGCAGCTGGACTTCGGTCAAGTTACCCCTCAAGCCCGACGTGCAGCACAGCGGCTGGTATGAAGTGAGCACCAGTGTGCTTCATGACATTATTTCACTTATTTCACTATACGTAACTTTTCCTCTAGCTGATAAGTTTTCTGACTTCCCAAAGGGGATACTTTCTAGTTTAACAGTATCTGTCTCAATTTTTTTCTATTGTAGAATTTGAATACAAGTCTTTAAAATATCAATAATAAACTTCTATCACTCTGCCACCAATTGTCACTTACCGATCTGCTTTTTCTTCCTGTCTTCTAAATAATATGGGGATCACACAAATAGTTTTATATCCCACTTTTCTCCAATGAGTTGTGAAAATTTCTCCAGGGTGGCCTTTGAAAAAAATGATTGGTTCCAGAGGTTACACTATAATTTAACCATTACTCTATTATTGGTCATCTTAAATATGCCCACCAAAACTAAGTACAAGGCTCTCGTGTAGTCTGTTTAATAAAATGGAAATATTAGTTTCAAATCCTGGACTCTCTATTCTCATTAATACGGCCTAGAATCATGAAGCTCTTCTCCCAGTTTTTAAAAGCAATTATTTTTTTTTTTTCCTGAAAACACCAAAGCACACTTCTACTTCTGGTGGTATGGGGTTCAGATGCTCTTAGAAATCCCTCTAAATTTTCATAAACGTACCTTTTAATGCACTCTTAAGCGTCCCTTGTGACTCAGCTGGTAAAGAATCCGCCTGCAATGTGGGAGATCCAGGTTCAATCCCTGGGCTGGGAAGATCTCCTGGAGAAGGGAAAGGGAAAGGCCAGTATTCTGGCCAGGAGAATTCCATGGACTACAGACCATGGGGTCACAAAGAGTCAGACACAACTGACCAATTTTCACTTTCACTTCACTTTGAAGTTTGACAGAATGAAAAGGGAATCCCTAAGAAATAATCTACTTCCCACCTCACTCATCAAAAGGAACAGCAAATTTAAATCAACTCTGTAAAAGGAAGTTAAAAACCCTGGGTAGCCCTAAAGGCAAATACTGACAACAACTCAATGAATGGGAGATGGTATCTTAAGGGAGCTGAACATGAAATGCCTCCATTAAGTAGGAATCCTTAAAGGACCCCTGTTAGCAGGCTGGAAAAGAAATAATTTGCCAGCAAAGAGAGGTTACCAGGGAACATCTACAAGTAGAAAAATAATTGTAATGATAATGGTCTTTGGCGAGGATTTGCAACTACAAGTGAAAGTGTTAGTCACTCAGTTGTGTCCAACTCTATGCGATCCCATGGACTGTAGTCCACCAAACTCCTCTGTCCATGGGATTCTCCAGGCAAGAATACTGGAGTGGGCTGCCATGCCGTCCACCAGGGGATCTTCCGACCCAGGAATCAAACCCGAGTCTCCACAGGTAAGCAACTACAAGCCTGTCCTCAAATAGGTCTGGAGTAAACTTGACAAAATTTATAAAACTCAAAACTAAGAAACTGATTTACAGCGGTAACAAAACACACACACACTATATATATATATATAAAACACAAACAGAAACAGTGTCATGAAAAATAAAATGCTACGGGTAAAAGATTTAGAATCCCAACAACTTCAGATAGTGGAATTATCACATTTTGAATGCAAAGCATTCATATATGAATGTGTATGAAGAGAACATGAACTCAAACAGGAAATGAGTATTTAAAAAAGGATCAGATTTTAAAAGAAACTAGATAGACCCTTTAGAAATATATAATAATGAAACTCAAAACTCATTGGATGCTAATAATAAACAGAAGATTAGATCCAACTGGCTTCCCAGGTGGCACAGTGGTAAAGAATCCACCTGCCAATGCAGGAGACTCAAGAGATGCAGGTTCAACCCCTGAGTCAGGAAGATCTCCTTTGAGTAGGAAATGTAACCCACTCCAGTATTATTTCCAGGGTTACGAGAACAGTCGTGCAGTTGCAAAGAGTTGGACATCACACTTCACACTACTACTAGATCCTACTGAAGCTTTAATGAACTCAAAAATATATCAGAAGACCATGCCCAGAATACAGCAAAGACAAGAAAAATAAAAGAGATTAAAAGTTAAGTCAGTCAGTCGTGTCCAACTCTTTGCGACCCCAAGGACTGTAGCCTACCAGGATCCTCTGTCCATGGGATTTTCCAGGCAAGAATACTGGATTAAAAGACCTGAACAATTTGTAATAGAATGACCCTATGCATCTCATCAGAGCTCAAGAAGGAAAGAGAGGTAGGGAGGAAGGAATTCATCCAGAAGAGTGAGCAGAGAAACTGCTAAGCTTATAGGTATATTAACACAAACACTAAAAATAGTGTCTACTATGTGGGGTTAAAAAAAGTCAATTAAAAGAGTAGCACAAACCAGGAGTGGGGTGATTAGTTACTGGAGTTTTAATAAAGTATTACTCTTAGATAATAATTAGCTTTAAATTTTAAGTGAGTATGCAAAATATCAAGGGTAAATACAACAACAGAAATTACAGTCCGAGTTTCAAACTAGTAGAGGAAAAAAAAATGGAGAATACCAACAAGATTGCCAGGAGAAATATAAACAACTCGCATGTGCAGATGAATGACTTTAATGGCAGAAAGTGAAGAGGAATAAAGAACCTCTTGATAAAGGTGAAAGAGAAGAGTGAAAAAGCTGACTCAAAACTCAACATTCAAAAAACTAAGACTATGGCATCCAGTCCCATCACTTCATGGCAAAGAGATGAGGGAAAAGTGATAACAGTGGCAAATTTTATTTTCTTGGGCTCCAAAATCACTGCAGATGGTGACTGAAGCCACGAAATTAAGATGCCTGCTCCCTGAAAAAAAGCTATGACAAACCTAAACAGTGCATTAAAAAGCAGAGACATCACTTTGCCGACAAAGGTCCGTACAGTCAAAGCTATGGTTTTTCCAGTAGTCATGTATGGATGTGAGAGCTGAATCATAAAGAAGGCTGAGTGCTGAAGAACTGATGCTTTCAATTTGTGGTGCTGGAAAAGACTCTTGAGAGTCCTTTAGACAGCAAGGAGATCAAACTAGTCAATCCTAAAGGAAATCAACCCTGAATATTCATTGGAAGGACTGATGCTCAAGGTGAAGCTTCAATACTTTGGCCACCTGATGTGAAAAGCTGATTCAGTGCAAAGACCCTGATCCTGGGAAAGACTGAGGGCAAGAGGAGAAGGGGGCAACAGAGGATGAGATGGTTGGATGGCATCACTGATTCAATGGATACATTTGAGCAAACTCTGGGAGATGGTGAAGGGAAGCCTGGCCTGCTGCAATTCACGGGGTTGCAAAGAGTCAGACATGACTAAGCAACTGAACAACAACAACCGAAAATATAAAGAGATATAAAAAAGTAAGATGAATAGCAGGCACAAAGACAGCAGAAATAAGTCTGAACTTATCAATAGTCATTATGAATGTAAACATACTGAACCCTCCAGTTAAAAGTCAGAGGTGCACTGGGAAGACCCAGAGGGATCGGGTGGAGAGGGAGGTGGGAGGGGGGACTGGGATGGGGAGTACATGTAAATCCATGGCT